CTCCTAAACAATAAAAGCACAACAGAATTTACCTTATTTTTAAACAAAATATATTCAATAAAGACCTTAATCTTATTCACCCAATAAGTCTTATTAAACACACTCACAAAGTTTATATAAAAATTATTATTAATAGAATTAGTAATATATTTTCAAAATATTCTATACTCTCACTATACAACTATGTTACTTTACCTAATAACTGTACTTCTACACCTATTTATATACTTAACAATATTACTAAGGATACATTATGTAACCAAAAAACTATTTGGCTTCTATCTCAAGACATAAATAAAGCCTATGATTCTGTCAACTTGAATCTTCTTCAACACTCACTTTAGTGTTTTGAACTTCCTAGTTCTATTATCAATACTATCATTAACTTATTTACTAACTAACAAAATCAAGTTATTATAAATCTTAGCCTTACACCTTCATATCCTGTACTTAATGATATTGACTAGGGTGAAACTATTACTTCTTTTTTGTAAAGAATTTATTATAATCTATTTATTTCATACATTCACAATAACTTTAATGATTATTTCATATAAGTTTCTTAGCTAACTAATCTTAAAGATCTAACATATAACAAACTTGAATCATACTGTTCAGTTTTTGCTTACATATCACAAATTATACCAAAAAACTTAACTCTCCTGATCTTCTTGGTATAAGCACTTGTATTTGACTTCAGCAACTTTAAAATAATCTTTGGTTATCTACTAGTATACTAATACACAACAATCCTACTATCGATAAACCAAACAAACATTCTACTAACTTTAAAATATTCAACTTTTCAAACATCTCAGTATAATATTTACTTTTAACCCAACTTACAACATTCTACATACTATTCAAGAGGGCTTTATCTCATTAGCATCCTTTCTTTGCTTATATCCTAAATATCTAATCTTCAAAAAACAACTTAAATATTATGGTATTTTATATTTAGACCAACTTACTATATTTGATAATTCATATTTACTAGACTGAAAACACATCTCTCCTCATATTCATAAAATTCCAAAGACAAACAACCTCTTTGGTTTACTTATTTAGAAGACCAAATTACAAGTCATTTCTATAACTGTACACTATACTCACACTTACACCTACCTAACACTAACTACTATAGCTACACAACTGAACACTTCTTATCATGTAAAAACTCTGGCTTATTACAGTACTTAATAATCAAATCATTATTGGTAAAGCCAGAAGACAATCTTCTCAATCTGGTACTATGCTTATTACTTACTGACAATGTCAAATTGAATTACAATTTACTCACTTATATCTACTTGCACTTATTTAATCAAAGGCATGTTCTGGTTGTTCCTTTAACTTATATACAATCAATAACAAATGTACAATTATTATTCCTACTAATCTTTCAACTCAATTTTTTGATTGAGTTAACACAATGACAAAACTCTTAACTTTAATGCCAATTATTTGGACCTCTTATACTCAGTTACAATCTGACACCCTACCCAAACTCTAAGCTTACCCAATATTATTATTTTAACAAAATCAATTTCAACTATCTTTGAACCTTGTATATTAAATCATAAACTCTAACAAATTGCCAATTATAACACTAACTAACAATAACTCCATTTCTATTCTGATGGCTCTGTTATTAATTTGGGTATTTCTCAATGTTCTATAGGCATTGGATGAGTCCAAGTTGACAATAATTCTATATTGCATACATTTCAGACACAAGTTAAACTTTGGTTATGTTCATTCAAATCAGAACTTACTGCTATCTTATTAGCTTTTATTACTATTTCTAAAAACTGTACTGTAAATATATACACAGATTCTCAATCTGTAATTTCAAAATACCAAAACCTTTTAAATTTCTCTATTACTTTATCATATACATATACACTATACTTTTTATTTTGGAACACACTTGTCTATTTTATCAATTCATACAAAATTCAAATGATCTTTCACAAAGTCACTGCTCATCAATATAATATATATAATAATTTAGCTAATCAACTTGCACATAACTATTATAACTTGTCATATTTTACTTTCATGCCATATAATATTTATAATCTAGCTTATACTCTTATTCTTGAGAATTTTTCTCTTAAACTATCAACTTGTTACAGTATTCATATAATTTGTCATGCACATATTTATGCACTATGGATTACTTAAAACTGCTTTCTTAAATAGGAAAAAATTCTTAACCAAATCAACTAGCAAGCCACTTGGCTGTACATTAACAACAATCAAAAAATTTCAAACTTCTCACATAACTTTTAATTATCTACTCTTAAGTCCTTTAAAATTAAAATTTTACTAAATAAACTTCTTGCCCCATACACTTTACACAAACATTATCACTCATATCCACCTACCTGTTACCAATGTCAACACATCAGCTCTTCCTTTCATTAAACAACTTGTCTATTTGATCAACTATTAAATAATCTTATAAATGTATCATTACAACATATTCTTAATATCACTACTCTTAACACTATTTCAGAAATTATAACTGATCTATACCATCAAATCAAACAACTAAACTGCATGTACAGTCACAGTATACCAGACCTATCTTCAATTTTCTCAACTCTATCAGGCTTAGTACCAAATAAAATCATTATTATAGTTGTAGACTTATCATTTATAAAATATTTATAACACTTATTACTAAATTCTTACTTCATCTTAATCAACAAATTTATTACAAAATTTGGATTCCTTACTGTATTTCAAGATCTACAATTCATCTTCTTACTTCTAATTTATCTTTTAATTCTATTTCACAATTAGTACAAACTCTTTTTCTTAATACTATTAGCTCTAAGATTTATTTTTAATATATACAATAGATTAAATATTAAACTAATCTCTCATACATTATTACTAACATCCAAATCTAGGTGAGCCTTGGCCACTCCAGTTGGTTTAGGTCACAGATAAATTAGTCTAAGCTTCTATTCTTGCTATAAGATTTTAAAAGTAGATTTAAACTTTATATAAAAATCTCAATTAAATATTCAATAAAGATAGAGACATGGCCTTATCATTAAGATTAAAAAAAAAAAAATATTAGAAAGCTAATATCAAAAAAGTTATGTATCTTGCTATATATATTTTTTTCTCTTATTTTAATACTCTACTTTTTATATACTATTTTAGAATTAATATCTTGTATATGGCTAGATTTTAGTATACTTTTTTTATATAATTATGATTTTATTATATTATAAATAATTAATGATATTTTGTTGCAGAGTATAAGAAATTAGATTTGATAATTTGGGTATTTTGTTTTAATAATTATATAATTTATTTTACTAAATATAATCAATTTATTAGATCAATATTTGCTAAATCCATTATACAAAATCAGTTTTTATTAATATTAATTATTGTTTCAAATAGATTTATGAGCATATAAACAAAAATTATAAGATAATAAGTATTTATTATCATTCTTTAAGTTTCTTAATCTTTTTATAAGAAGCTTTTGATATGAAAAGTAATAATTTGTTAATATCAAAATAAAATTTATATCAAGTTACTTAAGTGTTCTTCTTTAAATATTCTATTGATTTAAGATATAAAAAAATAATTTGTAAAAAAAGCAGATTATGCAATTTATAAAATTTTCAAGTTTTAGTAAAAGATTTTTTGGTTACTTGAGTTTTTATATATACAGTATATAAGTTATATATTTATCAAGTTATTATATTTTATAAACCCAAAACATAATTGCACTACTAATTAATTAATGTTTACTCTATATTTGGTCTTCCACTAGATAAAAAATGTATATAACCTCTTATGCATTCTGAGCTATTTATTAATAATTAAAGATTTTTAAACTACAATTTACAACTAAGACATTCTTGATTTTATACCCAATTGAACAATTTATTTTTATTACTTTATAGATTAAATATGTTTTTGTAATATATAAAAAGATAAAATTATAAATCCTGCAATACAAATGTATTCATTTATTTTTTTATTGATTTTTTTTCATTTTACTAAAAGTTTACCACAAGAAATTTTTAACTTTTTTTTTGATTATTTATGTTGGTTTGCTAATTTCAGAGAATCAATATCAATATTATCTTGATTGTTAATAGCATAAGAATAAAACATTTTGTTTAACATTTGTTTGAAAACAATATATATTTGTTGATTCTGTTTATAACATTTTTGACTTCATTAGAATCTTCTAAAATTTTTATTAAAATTAAATAAACAAACTCTTTATAAAATCTACATTTGTATATTCATAAATTGTTAGAAAATTAATAAATATATCTCAAAAAAATAGCAACAAATTAATTTTTTGTATATAAAATTAATAACACTTTTTGTCTTATTCCAATAAAGTTTAATAATAATTGATAATGTATTTGTTAAATTAAGATATTTTTAAATTCTTGCAATGAACTGGTTAAAATTGTATCAAGATTACTATGTGGTATATTATATTTTTTTAATTGTATTATAATAACATTTAAGCCCATCTTCAAACTTGAAATTTTAAAAACAAATAGAACAAAAAACAGAAGAAACTAAAAGAGTAGAAATTATACTTTGTAAAGAGGTAGAATGTAAACTCATAGTTAAAAAATGATTTCTGATATTATATATTAGATTTTGTTAGTAATTAGTTGAAGTTATTTTTTTAAGAAAATTAACCAAAATACAGTAATATACTATGTAAACTTCAATGTTCATATAACCAAATTATTTATCAATTACATTATATGATAAAATCATTACAATTGTTTAGCGATAGCGGCGCTATTATAGCGTGATAATAAAACAATGCAAAACAATTACAATGTCAAATGACCTGACTCACATAAAAAAAATTTGAAGGTGCTATAGTGCGTCGCATATGCATGAAACAGATTAGCCCATATGCAATGATTTTTCTCTTGATATTGATATTAAACTAAACGTTCTGATAAATTATTAAATCAATGGCTCAGAACTCGGTGATCCAGGGCAAGGTGATTCTGGATCTGGTCGTTCATCATTCACTTCGGCATAAGCTTTTTCATTCTTTGCCTTTTTCGGTGTTGACATGCAACCAGATAACTCGCGCTGATTTATGTCTCGAGGTCTCTTTCGGCGCCCGGCTGTTTTGAACGATTCAATAGTCTGCTCACTTGCTTGTATCACCTTTAATGTTTCTTTAATCACAGTCTAAAATTTATGACATTTATTGCATATTGTTTATTGATAAAAATTGCAATAACAAATTCAACTAACCTTTAAGTTCAAAACAGCTGCTAGTATTTTTAGAATAGAAGGAAAATTTTCCGAATTATCTGGCACCTCCATCACTTCACCACGTCGAATTCTACATACATAGCCTTGTGGATTGTCGAGATGGACCGTCATTATCATCAACCCTAAAGCTTAGGCATTAGTTGAATTATTGCAGAGGTGTAATTCATATATAAAGAACATACCTGCATGGATGATTCCAACTGTCTGCATTTTTGCACACTTTTCCCTATTCCAATCTACTTTTTTCATTAACTTTACCAGCATATCCTTAAGGACTTTAGGTAACTTCAAACCCGCCTCCTTAAGGAACTTGGTTCCGTGATCATCCGTCCAAACACTTCCAGCTTCGCCTGCTCCAAACTCATGTTTGTCACCATTAGTGACAGACCTCACGATCCAATCGCCCCTGCGACCCACTTTTCGCCTCTCCTCAGACCTTCTTTTCATATTTTTTCGAGAAGCTGTTGCCAAACTTGTACTCTCGCCTCTTGATGTAAACATTGTCAGATTCATCAAAGTAAACAACATATAATTTTAAAATTACCTGACGACGGATATTACATTAATATCACCGAAAGCTTGGTCAAAGATTACGTTCCAAATGTGACAATTGAACCAAGCTTCCAGTTTCGTGTCTCTCATGGTCCCACCTTGAATTTCTCGAACCCTGCAATATAAATAAATTTAGTTGGTCCCGCCAATGCATATAAAAAGCTTTAATAAATTATTCACAAAGAACAAAAATACTTACAATGAATAAAGTGCATAGATTATATAATCCTTATCGTGATGGTTTTCATGATCATAATTGTTACCAAACATCTTTGACTTTATGGCCTCTCGAATCTCATTCAATCTAGTCTATAATAGGAAAAGGGATTGGTGACTTTGTTTCAATACATCTATCTTTGCCATTAACATGTAAATGAATCATTACCTTGCCAACGAATTCATATAGAAATTCGGCGATTTGATCTGGGAGATCAGGTACGTGAGGGCCGGCGGCACAATCAATTTCGTCAAGTTCTGTGTCATTGAAATGCGATGAAATTAATTCATCATCAACGTCTATAATAAACGAATGGATAGCACTAAGAAAAAGGAATAAGACCACAATTTAATAAACTTATTCCTACACGAACATAATCTCATGCATGAATATTAACTGCTCGAGTTCCAGTTCTTGCCCTAGTCTATATAGTTCTTTTTCGACGAATCTTCCAGTCGAAAGTTTCCACATGCATTGTTCATCCATTAACTTAAAGGCTGTATCAATTTCCTCTCGATTTTCCTTGCTTAGTCTAACCTAGACAGGAAAAGCATAAATTCTGTTATTCATAAAAAAAATGGTTAAAAATTACCAATGAAGATTTACTTTGTTTTCCTTCACTACTTTGGTCACTTTCTTTGCCTCTTCACTACTGGTCGCATCCTTCACCCCTTCTTGATCTTGATCATCAATTGCCTTCTTCTGGAGTAGATGTGGTGAGAATAGTAAACATTTACAGTTAAACAACATCTGCTAGATATAATTTACCTCATGATCTGATGTATCCAAATTACTTGTTTCCAGATCTTCATCGTGCTCAGAAACAGGCTGTGCAAGATCCAAAATTTAAGAAAAATACTTTCATGCTAAACACTAACATAAATACAATTACCTCGATTCCAGAAGCATTTGAGGGATGTGTGACTCTTATTTCATCAGAATAGGTATTTTCAGTCTCTTCTATATTATAACTTTCTTTTTGCTGTAAAGAAAGAGTTTGTGAAAAAAAAAGACAAAAAAATAATTTTATAGAATAGTGGTTTGTTTTACCTTTTTCGGCATTAAAGTTGCAACTTCACTGGGTTTGTTTTCCTGATCGTCAGTCTTGCGTTTCGTACACGAAATATTAGCTGTACCTGAAGATATGAGATTCCCATTGTTGATTGTAGAATCTCCGTGAAAGTGAATTGTAGATCCACTCATTTTGCAAAGTGTATAGTGTTTCCTCCAATTTTTTACAAGGGTATGATCCGGCCGAGAACCCTAGTGTGGAAAATTTGTGAATTAATATAATAATATTCTTAATATTTTTAACTGTATATTCTGAATTCTATGATTTCCCATAAGGTCGACTTTAAATCTTGAACATCAGACAAACTTAAAATTCGTCTGTGCCCCATGGGTCCAGTGCTAGGTCGACTTTAAATCTTGAATGTCAGACAAACTTGAAATTCGCCTGCACCCCAACACTAGATTCGTGGCTCGCCTTAAAAGCTTGAATGACACAAATCTTGAAAACTTCTGCCACGCCACCAATTTCTTGTATATAATTTTTAACTAAAAGTTTCTTGAACTCGCCTTTCTATATCTATCTAATAATTGTTGTGCTCGTTCTCGCCTTTTTCCTTCAAAAACTTTAACTATCGCTTCGAGGGATGTAAGGTAATGACTTATTTTCTGGTCGACTTGTTGTAGAGTGCACTCTTCTAGAAAGCTTATTATATTCCAATCTGAACACTTTCGATTAAAATAATCGTCTATCATTTTACTAAAGTTTTTTTTCGCCATTGGTCCTTTATAAATACGTTAGGATCATCATCAGCGTGTAGTACAGGAATTATGTTTTTTACATTTTATTTATTTGCTCTCTCATTTTTGACGCTTAATTTTTTTATTAAAGCCAGATATGGGCAAATTATTTTTCATTGATAAGCGACACAAAATTTATAACAGTATTTGAGAACATATATACACGTAAAACATGGTTAAAAAAATTCGAAGCGAAATCTTTATTATATTTTTTTTCGTAAATACATATTTCTATGTTACGTAACTTTTACTATTTATGTTGAAGAGATGTAACATTGGTTGTCACAGTGAAGCAGTAAGGTTCTGCTTAATATTAAACTTTCATTATTGTTATACCATACCAAATCGCTATTTTTATTTAACGTTAGAATTATCACATTCACATCGCTTATATATTCCATCCGCTACTTTTTTGCATGTTTTGCTATATAGGTGTGAATAGTGATTGCATTCGTCACAAATTTTACATCCGTGGTTCCAACCTCTAAATATATGTCACTTTTTATTTACCAAAAAATGGGCTATACTGAATAATGTTAAAAAAAGATAAAAATTTATTATAGGCATACGTATAGAATGTGAACCGAGTTCACAACGTCACGTGATACTGGCGCAGTAAATATTTATTTTGCAAATTTAACCAATATTTGATCAATTTCATTCTGATTTAATTTTGACATTGATGATACTATAAGAGATTTAACTCTTTGAATCTTTTCAATGTCAATTTTACTAAACAGATTATAAATCTTCAAAGTTTGTTCTTTTTTCTTTTGAAGTAAGTCATCATTAACAAAGTTCAGAAGTTGTGATCTAATTTCTTTATTAACTAAGATCTGAGTTATTTACTTAGGATTACTTTTTTTATAGTAATCATACTTATTCTCAAGTGTTTTATCAAGAAGATAATTACTGGTTATAGCTTCTTAATTTGTAATTTCATTTTGAGTTTCTATATAGGTTATATTATTGTACAAATCATTAAAATTCATAGTATTTTCTTTTTTAGCTATAGGATCTTGCAGAGTTTTGAATTTGGTAAATAAGAACTTTTAATATATATATATATTTTTTTAATAGGTTTTTTTGCTTTTTTGTTAGATATTTTATTCAGAAATAATTTAAGATTATTAGTATTCTTTTTGATATATCATTTTGAGTAAATACAGTTGACCTTCTCAAACCGATCTTGTCAAAACTGATAACTTGTCAAATCTGATAAAAAATTAGTTTACCAAGTCCATTTCTGTTATATAAATCTAATAATTTTATTATGTTTTCAAATCTGATAACCTTTTAAAGTTAATACAAAAACTGTCCATCATACATATCAATTCTGAGAGGGTCAACTGTATAAGGTTTTTAAATATAATAAGTAATATTTTCATTAAATTAATATTCTTACTTTTAGACATGTTATCAACTATAAATTCTATCTTCTTCTAGGCATGCTATTAACTATAGATTTTATTTTTTTTATGCAATTAGGTTTTAAACATTTTGAATTAATTTTAATAAAACTTTTAATATAATCATAATGATATAAGTAGTCACAAACTTGGTTTAAGTCATAAATAAAACTGTTTGAGCTTTAATTCTTGCATATAGTTTTTATTTTATAGTTTATAATTTTAGTATATCTTAGTATATAATATATTAATATATATAACTAAAATTACTAATAAAGATATGAGCAAGGTTTTACCTTAATATCATAAATAGTTATAGGTAAATATAAAAATAAATTTTTTATTTTATACAAAAAAAACTCTTCATTACATTTTGAGTATTAGTTTAATTTTAAAACTATAATACCATTTACAATAATATCTAATAAATTATTTTTAAGAATATTTAAAGCATAATTTTTGAAACATAAACCATTTTAAGATATTAAGTTAGTAAACATTTCAAAGATAAAATTTTTTATAATTAATAAGGTTGGTATATAGTATAAAGAATTATAAACAAATAAGTATTTTATATCAAAAAATCTATTATACTTGGCTTATTTATATAATTTATTATTTCTTATAATTAACAAATCTTGTCTATTTATAAGTCTTGTATTTAGATAAATATAGATTACAATATATGAAATAACTATATAATTTTTTTTAAATATATAAAAAAAAGAACTAATTTTAAGTTTAGCAATTCATTTATTTATGAATTATTTAGTATAAGATAGATCACTTAATCTACTAGCTATTTTTAAGTTTATTAGCATTTTAATAGACATTTTAGATTAGATTACATCAAAAAAATTTTTCCAATTATATTACTGAAATATAAATTTAGAATTATTGAATTCTTATTTATTTCTATATTCATAAATTTATTATACTCTTTCTTATCTTCAAGATTATATTTATCCATCATTGTTAAGTATATATTTAAATATTTATTATTTATAAAAAAAATCTTAATAATTGGTAATTAGTTTTATAAAGTTTGACTTATTTAGTAAAATGAGCAAGTTATTTTATTACTATTATTAAGATTTAAGTTTAACTTCATTACTTTTTTTCTGTTTTTTCAGAATATATTTTAAATAAAACTATATGTTTATATGTATAGATTCTTCATAACTATATAAAAGATTTTGTATTCTATCAAATAAGATCCAGCACTTATTATTATATAGGAGTGAGTCAATAGAAATCAAGCAAATTGTTTTTATTAAAATTTTTTTAAAACTTTAAATAATAATAATTCAATAAAAACTTAATCAAATTTAATAAAAATTTTTTTAAATGAATTTTACAAATATGTAGCATTTATTATAAAAAATTTTTATATAATTTGATAAAGTTTTAGTTAAGTTATTATTGTTTAAAGTTTCAAAAAAATTTATTTAGAAACAATTTGCTTAATTTCTATTGACTCAACCCTATATAGATTTAGTCTGATTTTATTTATTCTAAATATATTTGGTAATCATAACTTCAAAGTCTATACAAATTATATTTGATTTGTTTTTTTGTTCTAAGATATTCTAAAAATTTGTTATATTGAAGTTTTTACTTAACTACAGATTTTTTAACACCCTTTACTTTTTAGATATTATGCTTTTTTTGTTAATTCTTTTTATATTGAGCCTTTTTAACTTCTTTTTTTTAACTCTTTTTCAAAATCTGCATCAGTTTTAGGAGTTTTTAAGTCATGTCTAGCTAGAAAAACTAAGTACATTTTTGGCTTTAAGCATATTATTTTATTTATAAAAATGCTTTTTGTCTCATTTTTCATTAAAAATAAATTTTTTAAATAATTAAAATCAAAAATATCTGGTCTTTTTGTATAATCTTTATATATATTTTTAGTTTTAATATAAATAATAAGTGAATCTGTATCAATATATAGAAAACAAGCTTTTTCTCTATAATAGACTTTATATATCTGTACTAAAAGTTATATATCATAAACTTGCTTATGTTAAGAATTGTCTATCTTACATAGATTGGTTTATTTAGAGTTAGTTTGTTTTTTAATATATAGATTACTATAATTTCTTTTTTAAATACTTTAAAATCTATACATAATGATAAACTTATTAGACACCTGATTTTTTTATTAACTTCTTTTGAATTAGCTTTATTTTTATATACTTGTAAACATTTTTCATTTGTTTACCAAATACAATATTATTTTTTAACTTATAATATATAACTCTGAATTTATTTTTATTAGTCTTAGCTATTTTGTATTTGCAAATGTTTTTCTTAATATATGCTTTTATCTATGAAGACTGTCTGAACTCAAGAATACTATAAACTTTTATAATTTTTATTTTAAACTTTATGTATATCTAGAAAGCTTAATAGTGAATTATATAATTTTTCTTAATAAAAAAAATCTGAACTAGCTTTTTATTTGTTATATATTTGTCACCTTTAACTTCTTTATCATGTACTAATCTTTTATTATATAAACTAAGCCAGTTTTTTAGTACTAAAAGATAATTTGCAAAAAAATTATATAAGTGTATTAGAGATTCTAAGTTAACTTTAAGTATATAGCTAATTTTTGCATTAGGTGTAATATTCTGAATAGCTAAAACTTCTTTTGGACCTATCTTATCTAAGATTTTTATAAACATGTATTAAGTTATTGCATTAAATACAAGGCATTTATATTATTATACAAGATATATAACTTCAGTTTGCTAAGTTTATAGTCTAAATATTGTGAATTATTTGTTTTAGTATATCGATAACTTATTATTGTCATGCTATTATAAATGTCTTTTCAACTATTAAATACTCATTTATATTTGTTATAATCTTGAGTTCAGCTTTGCTACTCTTGTATAAAGAGTTATTAAACATTTTTAGTACAGAAACCTAGTAAGAAAAATCTAATTTATTATCTTTCAAACACATAATAGTATAGTTTATGAATATATTAGCAAGTAAAAGTATATTAGTTTTGAGATAAAGATTATAAAACTCTTTAAAGTTTTTTATCTTAAATATTTGTTATACTATTGACATTAAGAGTTTTATACATTTTTGATTATAACTTTTAATGTACTAAACCAATTTGGATAAAATAACTATCATTGGATTCAGCATACTAAAACAGTTTTAATAAATACAAGATCATGTGATTTTGATTACAGAATCATAAGATCAGAATGATTTTGATAAAAGCATTAATTCTAATATATGTGACTTGATTCTGATTAGTTCATATTACTATACCAGAAATTTAACAGAAGCTAATATAATGACTATAATTTGACAAATTCTATATAAAGTCTATACAAGCTTAATAATATACAAATGATTTGGAATTTTAAGACAGAGGCAATAATAGATAGTATATGAAGGTACTAAATATTGCATTCAGTTTATTCACTATTGAAATGTATGAAGACATTTAACTTTCTTAAAGGGTTAGAAAGTAGTACTTTTATAGATATTTTATATGTATAAATTATTACAATAAAGATT